GAGAGCTCTTGTGTTGTCTGTGTTTACCTCCACAGTGGATCTAAATGTCGACCCCTGAACAGGATCCAGTAACAATCACTGTGGCAGATATCTAAGAAAATGTCTTCAGTATGAAGAGTTGGAAAACACCAAGACCAAACATGATTCACACCTACTGGCTGCACTCCATGAGTGTCTGGCTTCACAAATGAACCAGTAGCTAGTAGATGAGACACATCCAAAATGGCTCACTGAAGGCCGGACAGTCCTGATTCCTAAGGATCACCATAAGGGACTGGTCCCATCCAACTACCAGTCAAAGACCTGCCTCAGTGCCAAATGGAAGCTTCTGTTTGGCATCATAGCAGCTAAGATGAACAGGCATATGGCTAAATACTTGGCACGGAAAGGAATGGGCAGAAACACCAGAGGGGTAAAACACCATCTACTGATAGAAAGCACACCTGGATCCTGGAATGCCCTGAGCTATACAAGATCAACAGGATCCTAAGAACCTTCATCAGAAATTTGATGGCATTGTGGTGAACATCAGTCCAACTTCAAGCCAATCGATTTAACAAGGAGGTGGTCTTCCGTACTGCTGTTCCACATAGGCCTGAACCCCCTCAGTGAGATCATTGACAAGACTGGCTAGGGAAACCAACTACAGAAAGGCGTAATCATCAGCAAATCCTCTACATGAATGACAGCAAGCTGTATACCAGGAGTGAACGACACATCGATTCACTGACCCACACTACTATGATCTACAGCAATGACATTGGAGAAGTGTATTTGGATGGTAACAAAGAGAGGGAAGGCGGTTAGAACTGATGGGATTATACAACCAGATTGCAACATTGCAGACATCGAGGACAGCTATATGTACCTGGGACATCCACATAGTAAGGCAAGTCCTGAAAAGTCAGCTGAATGGGTAGAAGAATGTCCGGGCAATTAACACCTACGCTCTACCGGTGATCAGATACCCTGCTAGGATAATAAGCTGACCAAAGAAGGAGACAGAAGCAACTAACATCAAGAAAAGGAAGCTCCTGAGCATGCATGTGGGATTTCACCCCAAACCCAGCACCATGAAACAGTACGCTAAGTGGAAGGAAGGACACTGAGGACTAGCGAGTGTCAAAACCACTGTCCAGGTTGAAAGTGAAGGCAACAGACCCCCAAGCTGGGTGAGTGGCTCTAGCAGATCCCAGGAACAACACCCAAGATCTTACTAGATTAATAAATGAATGAACCATACGCACAGAAGGATTAGATTATTAAAGTGTTTTTTATTTCTATACTTGGCTATAATTATTCTCACCGACACTGGTGTAAGACAGCTAAGAGTAAAGATAAATAGTTGAAATGACAATAAAGGTTTTGACCAGCAGGGGGTGTGGGGTTGTGTGAACATAAAGTCTCAAGAAATGAAACCTGTTTTTAACCAATTGGACAGAAAGCTTCGAGGCTTCATCTGACCATCAGTAGTATCAATATTATCTTCAGACAACAATAAAACTATTTTAATAAAAACATAACAAAAGGTGTTGTGCCTGATCTTTAATCTCTGTTTCTGCAACATAAATCAGGAGCCAACACACCCACGTTAACTGATGATAGTCACAGTTTGATGTGCCGTGTGACAACCGTATGCTCAAGGTAACATGACGTCAACGCAGTAGTCTGAAAACATTGACAGCTGCAGGCAGAGGTGTGTCTGATGTGTTAAACACCAAACTCGAAACACGAAATTGTTGAGCAGTCTAACATCCACTCTGAGTGTGCTGTAGTGTTTTTTTCTATCACACAAAAGTGTGTGGGAATCATAACAAAGGCAGTGAGAGCATTTATCAAACACTTTAACCCAGTGGTTCTGAAAGTGGAGGGGGCACGTAAAATAAAATAATTAAACCTTAAAGATGGTTAGTTTAGTGGTTTATTTTATTGCAGCCTGTAATTTTCTGCAGTTTATTTTTATTTGTTTAATTGTTTTTTTCCCCTTCCTCGTTGTTTTCTTTACTTTTGCACCTGTGGTTCAGATACTTGTAGACTAGGAACACTGGGTGAATGTATTTTTAACAAGCAAAGATAAGAAACACAAAACAAGTCACAGAAGGGTCTTAAAAACATGAACAAAAATGCTGCTGGCCTTCTTTAAGTTTTAAAGGGGGCCCTAGCAAAAGAAGTTTGGGAACCACTGCTTTAACCTATCAGCGCAGACACCTTCAGCCTGTTCTTTGGGGTTTAGCGTCTCCCGATAAAATCACGTGCTCTTTACTCTTTTTTTCAAATCTAAAACAAAACAAAACAAAACAAAAACAACAAGCACACGAATGCATGTTTAAAGACGAAATATTGACTGCGTTCTCCTGGTTTGTTAGCGGCTCCTGAAGAGCAAGTCTAGCACACATATCTTCGACCAACAGTAGTCAATCTGTGACACCAGTTAATCTGAAACACCGGAATAAAAACAAAGTAAGTCTGTTTTATGGGACAGGTAGATTTTAATGGTTCCCTTTGCAGTTCAGACATGCCCAGGAAACGTATTTGTCAGAGAGGGCTAGATAAGGTCTCAGCTATGGAGTGTTACCTACCTCATTTGCTTTCGCTTTGCCTAGCGATTACACCCAAGATACTTTCACTTCACTTGCCATTGTTGGCATTCAGTGCACACCTGTGGAAAATTACGATGTGAGTATTTCATTTTTTATTTTCAGATTCTCACTCAGCATGACACACTTTGATCGTCATTTATGGCTTTCTTCACACAATTAAATGACATTTTACCCAAATAAAACTAAAAAAAATGTATTCCATATTTAACCTTTTCTGCAGATCTGAAATGAGAATTCTCTTTTATTGTCATTTTATGGCAAAGCTTTGTAATGTAAGCCACATACGTGTTGGCTTTTTTCTCACTGTTTTGTTCTGTAAGCCTGCAGCTCCAAACGGCTGCAGCTATAGTTCTGCAAAATTATGAAGTGAAACGAGTTTGTCTGGAAATCTCATCATTTGCGTGAAATGCATGCGTACATGAAGTATTTGTCCTCTCATAAGATTGCACAAACCCAGACGTGGACTCACACCAGTCTGCTCGTTTAACCCTCAGCTCCCATCACTACCAAAAATGTCTCATCTCACTGAACTTTTCAAGTATGTGGACGACCACCAGGACCTGTATGTGCAGGTAAGATCACTCAGAAAAAACTATATAGTGCAGCTGCTTAATCATTCGGTTTTTTGTGTGATTGTCACTTGATTTAATGGCATATTGAGCTAACTAAAAACAGGACAGATTTGCAACTCATTCACTTAAGCTGGGATTATAGTAGGTTCCAACTGTAAAACCAGTTTTCCTGATAAGATTCAGTGATATTATAACTGCTGCTTGAGTTAAATTTTGTGGGTCTGATGTCCTAAAAATCACTCACATTGGCTCATTCTTGTGCAATAATTAACTGCATGAAATAGTAAAAAGAAAAGAAAAGAAAAGAAAAAATTATAAAAGGTATAAAAAACCCATTTTTAATTTGATTTCTTTAAATTACTTGTTTATAATTGTCCTCAGCGCCTGGCTGAGTGGGTGGGTGTCCAGAGTGTTTCTGCTTTGCCTGAGAAGCGCGGGGAGATCAAAAAAATGATGGAGATGGCAGCCAAGGACATCGAGAGGCTGGGAGGGACTGTGGAGTTGGTGGACGTTGGCAAGCAGAAGGTCTTGCACTGGTTACATTTCTTAATGCATTAATGATTTGCATATTGCGTTATCTTTTCTACTTAAATTTCACCATAAATGGACCTTGTTGTTAAACGGTCACTCAGATTAAGTTTCATTCATGCAGCTTCCCTCGGGAGAGGAGATCCCCCTGCCTCCTATCATCCTGGGGCAGTTAGGATCAGACCCAGCCAAGAAGACGGTGTGTATTTATGGGCACCTTGATGTTCAGCCAGCCAACATCAGTGACGGCTGGGACACAGAGCCTTTCACTCTGGTGGAGAAAGATGGTAAGAGGAGAATACTTTTGGTCTTTTACAAAACAACTCTGGAGATTTTTCTCAGCTGGAAAGTTATGTGAGTAACTGAAGTCAGCTGGAACGCACTTTGTGCTTGTAAAAATAGATGAGAATTAAAACTTTAAGGCTACTGTATCCAGCTGTTTGTAAGTTACACCGGGTAGTTTTTGGTTTAGCAAAGTTATAATATCAAATATGGCTAAAGAAATGAGCTACAGTACTGTCCTGTAGATAGAATAGATGGCAAAACTAAAAGAAGAAGAAGAATTAATTTTCAGAGCAGCATAAAGGCAGTTTGTTACTATCAGAACATTCTAATAACCTGATGAGGACTCAGTGTTTTAGTGGTCTTAACTGAGATTACAGAAAACGAAAAAACAAATCCAGTCAGCAGCTTGGTAGTGCAGGATGACGAAGTGTGGAGTGAGGTGTGTAAATCCTGTAAGGTAGCATAACTAAGAGAAAACACGGTATCAACAAGCTTAACTATGTAGACTGGGAACACTGGGTGAATGTATTTTTAGCAAAGATAAGAAACACAAAACGAGTCACAGAAGGGTCTTAAAAACATGAAAAAAGAAAGCTGTTGGCCTTCTTTAAGTTTTAAACTCTCATCCAAGAGACTTCTTCAGTTCTAAAACAAATGGTTGTGTGTCTCAGGTATTTAACCTCTAATAGTTTTTCTCAGGAGGTTCTGAGGGTTGTTAATCATGCATCACATTAGCCAAGGTGTGAAGAAAACAAAAGATATGGGCCATTACCATCATATGAGGTAAGGTTGAGACCTTGACCGAACACTTCCATTTAGCAAAGGTTCAAAGATTGTGCAAAGGTTCACATGACAGAATTGTGAAACACACTCGGCAAAAAGGCTCAAGTGAGGCGTTTTCCTTTGTGAGTCATGACTGGTGCTTTATTTCACAGACTGCATTTGTTTGTGCACATAACTAAGTCACTGCAGCATTCCTGAATTGGTGTCTATGCTTTGTTATGCTCCACACAGTAATGCAAAAGCTGCACCTGAATAATTTTGTTTTATGTTAAACAACACAGATTGACTCTGTTGTGCACGATCTTACGGACTCTTTAATACTGTGTAGCACAAGGTAACCTAACCATTTTTTGCTGCTCTTTTAGATCTTACATATGTTGCATCATTTCAGTACATATTTGCATTTAAACAAACTTTTTTGATGGGACAGGTAGGACAGGTTTTTTTTCCAGCTAGAAAATTGAGCACACTTGGTCTTGTGTATTTTCTGGTGAGAGTCAGCTGACACAAAATGCCACATCCTCTTCCCCCTGTCTCATTCCTGCCTGCTCAGTTGTGTTAGTGCTGCTTATGTCACATTTTACAAAACCTGCTGCATATCATGCAGATCATTTTTTGTATCATAAACAAGGATTTCATATCGTGCTGACTATGTAATAAACATAACCTTAGAAACATTTTTCAATGCCAATAATTTATCATTAAAACCTTGAAACTGAAACAAAGTTTTCTTTTTGTAGGTAAGCTCTATGGAAGAGGATCTACTGATGACAAGGGTCCAGTGTTGGCCTGGTTTAACTGCATTGAAGCGTATCAGAAGATCGGAAAGGTACAGTTACTGCCAGATTTAAGCTGGCCAACAAAAGGTGTTTCAAGTTTAGATAGTTTAAAGATGATATGATATTTTAGTGTGTCCTAAAGAATCAACCCTGTGGCCTGACATGCTAAGATGGGCGTGTTTGAAAACTAAATTGAAATTGCTGACAGGAGTATATTGAGGTGTGAATTTTTATTCCAGTATCTGAAAATGTATACCATTACTTCTTATCAAGGTTTTTATTTTGTTTTTGTACAGTGATGATAAAGCAGAATAGCTACTATACAGCACTATTCTAAAAGGATATGTGGGTCATTTGTATCATTTTAAAAATATTATTTTAGCTTGATCTGTTGAGTTTTTCCTTACTTGGTGGTTTCTGATATGGCTCTCTGGATCTTCTGATAATTAGAGTAAATCTTTAGCAGGAATATCATTAATGGGTGTTTAGTCAGAACAAATAAATCCCAGCTGGTGAATGTATAGTATTTATTTTTAAACATGCATTCCTGCTACCTGCTATTCACATTTATTCAGTGGAGCACCCACAATTTCATTGTACATGTACAATGATAATAAAGTGCTATTCTATTCTATTCTATTCTATTCTATTCTATTCTATTCTATTCTATTCTATTCTATTCTATTCTATTCTATTCCTGTGTTAAAGTACACCACTGCAGATCGTTTGTTGTCAAGAGATTATTTTAACTCTAGAAAATGAGCCTGAATTTTTTTCTTATGTATCTCTCTTCTTGTTGCAGGACCTTCCCATCAACATCAAATTCTGCTTCGAGGGGATGGAAGAATCTGGATCTGAGGGTCTGGATGATCTTGTGTTTTCTAGAAAGGACACTTTCTTTAAAGACGTGGACTACATCTGCATCTCTGACAACTACTGGCTGGGCAAGAACAAACCCTGCATCACCTACGGCCTGAGAGGAATCTGTTATTTCTTCCTTCAGGTGAAGTCCTGTTGGATTACTGTTGGTGGGGGGTGGGGACAGTGTTTCATTATCAGAAGGGCATACTTGAGCTTTTCGTGTTTTTTAAAATAATGTTTTACATTCCAACTTCAAGGTGCAGTGCGCTGAAAAGGACTTGCACTCAGGGGTGTTTGGTGGCTCTGTTCATGAGGCCATGACTGACCTCATCGCACTTATGGGCAAGTGAAGCTGATAATTGTGATTTTTAGTCTCACACACCTTATTTTACAGCAGTTTAGAGTTTTAATCATGTGTTTGTGACTTCCTGCACAGGCTCCCTGGTTGACAAAAGGGGTAAGATTTTGGTTCCTGGGATCTATGACAGTGTGGCGCCTCTGACAGCAGAGGAGCAAAAGCTGTACGAGAAGATTGACTTTGACTTGGATGAGTACTGTAAAGATGTGGGGGTTGACCAGCTGCTGCATGACACAAAGGCAAAGAAATTATTTATGTTGTTCGCATCACTCATTGGTGGAAATGTGCTGTTTAATTTTGGGTCATTCACACTTTTTGAACCTATTGTTCTTTATTTCTTCCACCATAGGAGCAAATCCTCATGCACCGTTGGAGATATCCTTCTCTTTCCCTTCATGGTATTGAGGGGGCTTTCTCTGAAGCAGGAGCCAAGACGGTTATTCCTCGCAAGGTCATCGGCAAGTTTTCCATCCGCCTTGTGCCTGACATGGACCCTAGAGATGTGGAGAAGCAGGTAAACACTGTGATAGGTCACAATGATGGCATATAGCACTCACCTAAATAATGTAGCAGAAGTCGCTCTGTATCTCTGCCACTTATTGGTAGTTTGTTGCTCAGATGATTTGCTCAGCCATGCTTTTTTTAAGAAGTCCGTGAAACAAACTGCAATGTATAAAATTGAGAAATATTATGAATATATTATATTATGTAGTAAAAAACTGTGGAGGGATTTAATGTGAATGAAGGCAACTTTATTTAGACAGAAAACCAATATCACAGATCATAGCATTAAAATATACAGGCAAACCAACCAATCAAGTCACTTTCTTTTGCCTTACCTAATACAGTTCAACCCTTTGCACACATAGTGGTTTCTTTTTAAACTGACTCTGAATTAACATGACAAAGAGATTTAGTTAAGTTTTACTACCTAAATCTGAGTCTGGATTGACTGTGGGCCACTTGGAAGTAGCCACATGATTAGCTTCAGTTTGTTTTTGCATAAAAGCTCCAACAAGTTATCTTCCCCTCTTCAAGGTCATCGATCATCTGCAGAAGAAGTTTGCTGAACTGGGAAGCCCCAATAAACTGAAAGTGAACATGGGCCA